TAAAAAAATTTAATTTACTTATTTTACTCCGGTAATTGTATTCCTGGACTTGTTTTTTTTCAAAGTGATTATCTTTCGAGACAAAACTTTGAAACTTTAGTAATTAGGCGCTTTCGGAATTTTTTATATCATTCAAAAGGTATTGTTGTCCTGAGCTTAAATTTGAAAAGTTGTTTCACCTGTGATCATTTTTCGTAAAATTATGAGGGTTTAAAGATTGCCATTTTGGCCATTTTGACCAATTTGGGACAATTAACGCGCGATATAATTCGCGCTATTAACGCGTAAGCGGGGATTTATTCCGTCTTATAAATCGTTCCAAATTAGTTGAACGAAGCTTATTTGCCATAATTGATTTGTTACAAGGAACGAAATCTCTCTATTTTTACTTTATATGGCGTGTGGGGGGATGATTTTCATAAAAAAATTTCAAGTTTTAAAAAAAAAAATTTCATTTTATTTCATTTAATTTTTTTATGTTATTACTGCTGCTCCATAAACCTTAAAAGGCAGTCGGAACATTCAGGGCTTTGCCCTGATACGGGCACTTTTGTTTAATTTTAGTCGCTTTTGTTTCATTTTTGTCTGCTTCCCCACACGCTATCTTTGTGTGAAGTTTCCAGTGGCGCAGAATTCTGCTTTACCTCTGTGTATTTTTCAATTTAATTTTTGTGCAATAAACTTTGTCATTTTTTCCACATCATTACCTTGCTTTTATTGCTTTTACAAAATGAGCTGAACTTAAATTTATTGGCAATTTTTTTCTCTAAAGTAATATTTATTTTTTCTTTTCAAGGAACCTCTAATTACCCATTCTAGCATACTTCTATTCATTTGCAGAAACATCCATGTTCAGCCCGCAATATAATACATAGTATAGTGGTTTCGATGCTAGCTTATTGTCTCATAAGATTACACGCGGGACAGAATTTGTATAATAAACGACTACTTAACTTAATAAGATTAGTCATATAACAAGGCAAACCTCTGAATGGTTCGAATGCTTTTTAAAGATTATTTGAAAGTGTTTTGGTTAAAAAGCGAACAAACAAAATACATGAAAAAAAAATTTTTTCTCTTCTTTTTCAAATCACCCCACCTAAAGTAAACTACAAAATGTTGTATTAAAGCGTCACGAATTTCAAAGTTCATGCAAAAAAACTGCCTCAATTCACTTTCGATTGCAAAAATTCTGCCGCTTACGCGTGCTATAACAACTCAAAATACTTTGAGCCGCTTAAGTTAACAAGACTGCCCGTATCAGGGCGAAGCCCTGAATGCTCCGACTGCCTTCTAAGATCTATTGAGATTTTTTGTGAAAACATCCCCCCACACGCCATATTCAGTACAAAGTGATAGATTTTGCTCCTATTATGAAAATCAGTTATGGCATATAATCTTCCTTGAACCAATTTGGAACGAATTTTAAGACGGATTCAATCTCGCTTACGCGTTAATAGTGCGAAACATATTGCGCGTTAATTGTCCCAAATAGGTCAAAATGGTCGAACTGGCAACAATTAAACACCCATAACTTTACGAAAACTGATCACAGGAGAAATATCTTTTCAAATAGCTTTCAAATGATGTAAAAAATTTCATCAAAAAATGGCCAGTTAAAAAGTCGAAATTTGTCTGAAGAAAAAAAAACCCACCCGAGCACAAATATTCCGTTACTTTCGTTACGATAGTCGGAACAGTTATCTCAAGTTAATGGTAGTTAATTATCCCAAACTGGCAAGTTAGCACTTTTCAAATCATCCCCATAACTTTAGAAAAAAATGGACATAGTACTGTTTTAACACTGCACTTGCGCTGATATACTTTGTTCAGAAAACAGAACAAAGATAGAAACAAGACTGCTCGTATCAGGGCGAAGCCCTGAATGTTCCGACTGCCTATTAAGGTTTATGGAGCAGTAATAACATTAAGAAATTAAAAGTAATAAAACGAAATGAAAATTTTATTTTTTCAAATTTGAAATTTTTAAAATAAAAATCACCCCCCCCCCCCCCCCCCCACACGCCACATTAAGTACAAAAGGATAGATTTCGTAACAAATAAACTATGGCAAATAAGCTTCGTTAAACCAATTTGGAACGATTTCTAAGACGGATTAGCTCTCCGCTTACGCGTTAATAGCGCGAAATATATCGCGCGTTAATTGTCCCAAATTGGCCAAAATGGCAATCTTTAAACTCCCATAACATTACGAAAAAAGTTCACAGTGAAATATCTTTTCAAATTTGAGCTCAGGACAACAATACTTTTCGAATGATGTAAAAAATTCTGTCAACAATGGCTAGTTAAAAAGTCGAAATTTGTCTGAAGAAAAAAAACCCACCCCGAGCACAAATATTCCGTTACTTTCGTATCGAAAGTCGGAACAAAAACAATACTGTTACATTGATGTTTCAGTGCCGGAATCATCTTGGTCGCTACAGAGATTCGAACAACTCACCTCATGCCTTTGCCCCAACCATGATCTTTACCTTTACACTTTTTCGCCTTAGTATTAGAGGTTCTGTCTAGAATAAATAGTTCATAGATCTTAGACAAGCGTTTAATTATTATCACGAAAGTATAACAGAAACTAAAAAGATAGTTTTTTAACATTTTTTTTTGAATTTTTGCTAAAAACTTGATGTACTATGAACTGATCAAAGCTGTCAAAAATAAACTGAAACACTTCAAGTGCAAAGACAAGAAAAAATGATGTTATGTATTTGTTATTAATTTATATGTAGTCTTACAAACCTATTGGAACTGTGCAAAAAAACTTTGCACTTCAAGTGCAAAGACAAGAAAAAATGATGTTATGTATTTGTTATTAATTTATATGTAGTCTTACAAACCTATTGGAACTGTGCAGAAAAATTTAGGGTTTTTCTCTGTATTTGAGGCTGGGTGATGAATTTTCGATATTTTTGGGTGATGAGCGTAATGCACTGCTATTAAAAAACAACAGGCTGTTTTCGTTTCTATATAGCGCTTAAAAATGTTTTGTTGATTTTTCGTCATGGAGGCTTTCATTATAACTCTCGGAGCAACCAGCAGCTAGCTAGTATCTTTGCATCCAAAAAAGAAGAAAACTTTGCGCCGCCTGCATTGGGAACAAGCAAAGTAAAAACAACAAAAAGAAATTTATAACCTTCAGTAAAAAAAAAAACGCGAAATATAGAATTACTTGAACGATGAAACCGTTTTAATTGTTTGTTATTATGTTGTAAATAGTGTTTTTCATTTTAGTCTTATTTTTTCAGCTATGGAATGTCTGATTGATCAGCAATGCATTGTCACTCTTGCTGTCCGTCTAAGTAACCGACCGTAGCGTCAAAATGTGCTAAATTTGATTTGGGACGCGCTGAAAAAAAAAAATTTTTCAAAAAATATGCCCAAAAAACAACTAACAAGTTTTTATCTGCGGTTCTCTTTCTTTCAGCGAAATACGGAAATGTTACGATAATATTCTTTGGAATACAGTGCTGATTTAAATTATCCGGACAAAACGAACAAAACTTGAATTTTCAAACGCGTTTTTCTCAAATATGGTTAAGATTAGACAAAAAGTGAAGAGAACAAAAGTTGCTTAGAATTTCACCAGAATTAATATGGTGCCATTTTTTTCTCCGAAATTCTTAACAAAAATTTTACCCCAAAAATGGGTCAATTTGGCTTTTTTCAATTAATCAAGAATTACGCTGAAACTACTTTGTTAATTGATACAAAAATTATATCACAGGAAGCCTCTTACGCAGTTCAACAAAGTTTAACAAGGGTTAAATCTACAAAAATTTGCGCTAATTGTTTAAAATTTATTTTTTAACAGAGATTCTGGGTTTTATATAGTAAAAATCACATTTATTGACTATCAAGTGAAAATTTTTTCTCTTATACTGGTTTTTGGAGATTCAACCCTTGTTAAACTTTGTTGAGCTGCGTAAGAGGCTTCCTGTGATATAATTTTTGTATCAATTAACAAAGTAGTTTCAGCGTAATTCTTGATTAATTGAAAAAAGCCAAATTGACCCATTTTTGGGGTAAAATTTTTGTTAAGAATTTCGGAGAAAAAATGGCACCATATTAATTCTGGTAAAATTCTAAGCAACTTTTGTTCTCTTCACTTTTTGTCTAATCTTAACCATATTTGAGAAAAACGCGTTTGAAAATTCAAGTTATGTTCGTTTTGTCCGGTTAATTTAAATCAGCACTGTAGTTCGAAAAATCTTTAAAGCAGACCCAATATGACTATAGTCCACTTATTCTGTGTCCGCCCATTTAGGTATGCATGAATAAAGCTGCTAAAGATTTGGCAATTAATATCGGCTCGAAGCTGGGTATCTTGTTCCAATTCGAAAAATGAGAACAAATATATAATTAATTTTGCCTGAAAACAATTAAATTTGACTCTAAAACTTCTGTGCATCTTTATTTTTCTGGTAGAAAGATCTCAAGCGACCACTAATCGATTTTTTTTGTATTAGCATAGCTAAAGTTTTTCATTTAGATTTTACTCATGTAGCATTTTTGAAGAATAATTTACATCCAGTGAGTTTTTCATGGAAGAAAAGAACCGCCAAATGAATATTTATGACAGATGCATAAGGCTTACTTTGCTTATTAGTTTTATGGGTCTCAATTTTTCTTTATCAGATCTACAGAAGACTTTTATTTCTTAACTTTTTTTGATGTTAGTAACATTATTCGCAGTTTGTGGGCAGTGCATATTTGGCTTTGGAATATCTAATCATCAAGCTTTAAGTTAAATCACTCAAATAAAGTTTTTTTTCAAGCCTAACCATTTATCTGTTCTCTTAAAAATTCATAACAATATTCTGTTTATAACTAAAATGGAGGTTTCGGCTGTTAATTTGATTTATCGAGAATGAAAAGCTCCTTACCGTAATCTTTAATTGTTCCTAACAAAAAGCGTATTTATAATCGGCTCAATACTTTATTGGTATTCTTTGACATTTATGTTTTTGCCTTTCTGTTTTTAATTCAATTCAATAAAAATGTGTTCTGATTTATTTATGTGATGAAAAACAGTTATTTGATCTTATTATGATTTTTTTTATTGGGTGGCCGAGCAGTTAACTTCATATAGGCGCCAACGGACCAATATGAACAAATGATTGATAGAAAAACGGTGTCTAGATTTTGATCGGAAGAAATTTTCAGTTTTTGCATTGTGTTTAATTTATGCACCCAAGGAATTTTTTTTAGTTTCCCACAGATGAATTGACTTATGGCAACAAAACGTTTTAATCCGTTTTTCGTATCCCAAAGCGGGTTCTATTTCTGATTCAGGCAAAAAAGGTATCACTTTGTTCCGTTTTAATTTATTTTGAACTTCGATCTTAGCAGGCTTCCAATTGCCATATCTTCAATCCGTAAGTTGAATCGTTTGAAGAAGGCAGCATTGGAGGGGCTAATTTTTCTCCAGTATACCTTACAGTTTGCGACAACGAAAGTGCGTGTCTTTGAGTGCACGCTGAATTAAACTCTTTGACAAATTCTCAACTGCTCTTATTGAAAAAAAAAGCTTCAAAAGCGTTCAACATTCAAATTCTTTTGCTTCTAATGGATGTTTGTTGGGAAAAAACTCTTTTAACCATCCTCATTCTCTTTTTTTATCACACACCCTTGTGCTTGTAATGTTTTTGCTTTATTGATGCAGTAACCATGACAATAGCTACACATACGAGCTTTTTTTCACTTTTACTTTTGATGCATTTATCCGGTCAGACTACTGAGACGAACTATACAGATTTATCGAGTTTTGAGGGCGTCTCGCACGAAGTCCGTCTAAGGCTCAAACTCGCAACAGACTACGACGCCTCCGCTCGCCCTGTTATATTTCCAAGCACGCTATTAAACGTGTCTTACAAAGCCACGATGTACCAACTAGTTGGCTTCAACACCAAAGACCAGACTATCAAAATGCTCATGTTCCAGCGTATGGAATGGATTGACGAACTTCTTCACTGGGATCCGGCGGACTACGGAGGCCTCAAATGGATCCGGTACTATCGGAACTCGGTTTGGACTCCTGACATCCTGGCGTACAACGATGTGGGAACTTTCGACATGGAAAAATACGATAGGTCCATCCCATGTACAGTGTACCATTATGGACTTGTGGTTTGGACTCGGCCTGTAGATTACGAAACGATGTGCGCTCTAGATGTGACTAACTTTCCCTTCGACACCCAGAGTTGCGAGATTGTGATTGGCTCTTGGCAGTATTTTGAAAATGAGGTCAACATCACATGCATGCCGATTGACCTCTCGTCATACATGGAGGACAGTCTGTGGACTCTAAAAGGTCAGCTGCTGTTTACATCATTTGAAAAAAAAATCACTGTTCTTAAAAACTTTTTCGTAAACCTGACACCGTCAGCAAACCATCCGAAGAAAAAAGTTTGATAACAAGGCAAACAGTCTAAGAGAATCCGTGAATTGCGTGGAAGGAAAAATAAGTAAAGCAGGCTCTTTTCCAGTCCCTCCTTTCAAATTCAATTTTGAAAAGTTTATTTAACATTGTCATATTGCAATGAAATTTGGCGTGGTGAACAAATCGGCAATTGTGAACAAATTTGTTCTTCATATTTTACAGCGTAACATCACGCATTTAGCCGTAATAACACGTAAAACAAACATAAAACTCGGTATTTTGAAAGAGGGGGACTGGAAAAGAGCCGTAAAGCATGACAAAGAATATCTTTTGCCGGGAAAAAACCCCGAAAACGTTAAACCAAAAAAGCCGTTATACCGTATCTGGTATTAATAATAATAAGATCATTTATCCACGAGGGATAGGACCAACATACGAGCTGTACAGCCCATCACGGCGAACCGCTGTTGTGCCCCTGCTTATTAGAGAAAAAGTTTCCATAACTTAAATGTTGGTTTGGAAGTGTTTTCATTTGAAATCGCTAGTAAGTAAAATTTGAAATATAGTATTTATTAGCAGAAATTTACGGGACTTGGAAAAAAGGCAAAAAAAGCTGCTGCTTGGATATAGATAACTCATAACTTAGTTCACATTAAATTTGAAAACTCTTTCTTTTTATCAAAAGGTTCTAAAGGCGTTTAAAGGTCTAAACTTCAAAGTTTGACCGGCCAAAAACAATACTAAAAATATAATCAAATATCTCCCTCTAAATTTGCATTTGATGTTGAGTTGGTATTATTTGTAGAGACAGAATGTACAAGATACTCGGTGGACGCTATAAGGGGTTCCAACACCTTCGGCAGAATATCAATACGTGTCGTCTTCAAGCGAATGTCTTCTTTCTACGTCCTAAATCTCATCCTCCCGAACGCCATACTTATGGCTATGAGTTCATTGACCTTCTTCATTCCGGGCAAAAACGGAGAAAAGGTCACTTTTGGGGTCACGGTTACTCTGGCTCTGTGTGTCAATTTGTCACTTGTGACTCAGTATGTACCGCAGACGTCCAAGACTTTTCCGAGAATCTGCACATATATTTTTTCGAGCATTGTCCTTTCGTGTGCTGCAATCATAATGGCAACACTTTCCATCAACATTTCTGAAGATGAAAAATCTGATGACAATGTCTATCAGCTGAACCATACCAACAAGGTTTCAATCGCGACAACTATCTTGTCGGCAACAGAAAACGGAGTCGGGGATGGAGACAGCTCGGTCGTTTTGGCGGATTCGCGTGAACAAACAAGAAGAATTGACAATTTGAAACAAGAACTGCGCAGATTTTTCTGCCACCCAAAATGCGACGTCGTCATGGGAGTTGTTGGCTTCGTGGGGACAACATTGTACTCAATTTTATTTATCCTTACGATGCTTGATTGAGATATGATTCGTTAAGCACGGCAGTATGTACTTGAAGTTAATGCAAATGTGATGCGCATCAAAGTTATGGTAAACACACTTAATTTGAAAAAAAAAACAGCAGCACAATATTTAGGCTATTTCCAGCTGACTAAAACGACCCTTACTTGGAAGCCAAGAATGTCTAATTATAATTCAGTCATATTTTGTCATTTCATTTGTATCAATGTAATGCAGTTAACTGGTCTTTGCCCTTGATTTAATCTGTCATGCAATCAATCAGGGCTAAATTTTCAGTTCAAGTTTTTATTTGTTTTTCCGGCAAGTAGTATATATTGGAGCTGATCACGGGTGGGTGCCGGCGATACCCCCTGTATTAAGAGAGGAAATGGATTTCCGGGATCGCTGGCAATGTTCTAAGTAGGGAAGAAATTTTCAATCTATTAGGCTAGTTTATAGCTTTTCCTATTTATTAAGATACGAGGTTTGAGATGATAAAATTTTCGGCGCCCGAATTTCCTATGTATTAAGATAATACATTTGTAAATTTATACCCTATCTTAATACATAGGAAATCCGGGCGCCGAAAATTTTACTTATCATCTCAAACCTCGTATCTTAATAAATAGCAAAACCTATAAACTATCCTAATAGATTAAAAATTTCTTCCCTACTTAATACATTACCAGCAATCCCGGAAACCCATTCCTTATCTTAATACACTAAATTCCCTATCTAAGTTAGGTAAAACAAATTCTTAACAAATCACGAGTCTTGTCTATTTGAAAAATATCTACAGTACAGTACGGCTAGACTGTAAATTGAAACCACACTAGACTGTAAATTTAAAACCAAACCAGGTAGGACAATGAACGAGTTTTAGTGGTTTTTTTTTGTCTATAAAAATGCTTTTTTCCTTTTTCCCCTCAAAAATTAGAAGTACAATTTTATTTGATCTAAATTGAGCTAGAATTAGCTTTACAAATTGTTCAAACTATAAAAAAATGCTTTTCTTAGCTTTTATTAGGCTGAAACCAAGCTGAACTTTTTCATATTTATACTTTGAAAGTTTTCTGTTCAAGTAAATGTGAACATACCTAACTACAGCAATTCAAACAGTCAATTATAGCAAAATTCACGGAAATTTCTTGAAACAATTCATTGCCAGATTTTACCTCGGATTTTTTGTCAAAGATTATACAATTTTTCAAACAAAAAAGACAAAACTGAAGCACTGTCAAATTCTATTGTAACCAATTTGATAAAAATTCTACCAAACTTTTAAATTCCCACTAAACGGCCATAAACTCACATTTTATACAAATCTTTTATCACCCTAATAGATAAAAAAGAACAAGGTTGGAGAAAACTTCAGACACAAAAATCAAAAGCTACTTCTATCATTTTATGAGCATCATTCAAATGTGGTAAAGTACACACTTTTCTAAAATTAGGGAAAACTTTCATTTATTCCTCTGTACCAGTACTGAATGGATCAAGCTGAAACAAAAGCGGGACTTTATGGCAACTCCTTCACCTTATCCAAATCGAAAATGAGATCATTAATTAAAAATCAACTTTATATTGCTAAAACATATAAACTTAAAAAATGCTTGTTGACCGACATCCCTTCAAAAAAACTCGTTATCTCGTTTGCATCTTTAGCTTTATTTGTCATGAAACTTTCAACGAGTTCGGATGTTTTAGGGTAAACCCCGGTTTCTGCTTTGTTTTATCTTGCAACTGCATGCACCTTGCATGAAAAGTTAGTCAGAATTAAGGAAAGCAGGGTTAAATTAGTATCACTTGAACAAAGAAGTCGCAGGTGAAAGTAAGTACAAGTTAACATTCACCATATAAAAGTTTTCTAAAATTGAGAGTATATGGGTGTAATTTTACTGAAGTATGGTGAAAAAAACAAGAGCAAACCTATTGGTTGTTATCTGAAGACCTTGCAAAGTTTTTAAACGGCTGGTTTTTTAGGGATTCTTCACTGAAATGCAAGTAAATGTATTCCTTGAAAACTTGTTTTTGATTTATGCTTTATCTAAAAATTTCCAAACAAAAAACGCCTTTTAATCAAATTAAACTCAGAAAAGAAAAAATTTCTCAAACTGTTTTTAGTTCCACCCGTGTTGCCAAATGAAACAAAAGTGAAGCTAAAGAGAAATACGAATTTGGCGTAGTCCTTCTTCGAACCAATTCAAGTCAGATATGATATCAAAGATTGAAGTGGAGAACTTATACGTCTGATTCTACTGAAATGATCAGTTTTTATAATAATATATAATTTTGGCAAAAATGAAGAGCTTAGTAATTGATTAAGCAATGGTGTTAAAATGTTGCAAAACAGAAAACGTTCCGATTTGATTATTTTTGATAATCGCGATCGTAATGATTTTTTTTAACTTCAAAACTATTTTTAAAGTAGTTCTCTCAAGATTTAATTACAGTTAACTATTTAGCAAAACCATCTTTAGTTAAAGAATACAAGGAGGTACAAAAACGATGTTTTCTGATTAATTTGGACCAGTAACACACATTGAAAAAAGTGAATGAAAGTAATTATTTCCTCGCCGACAAAAACAATTCCTCAACAAAAAGTGGACTTGTTCTTTCTATGTTGATCCGAGACATTTGAAACTTTAATTTCGGAACCATGGACATGTCTTTTTTTCAACAAATGTTGATTTAGTTAAGATGATCGAACGCTTGACCAAGTAGAACAGCAAATGACGACCAGTAATAATTTTAACACAGATGCAAAGCGGAGTTCCGCATCACTTGCGATGCCACAAAAAAAGCATTACAAGCTAGCAGACAGAAAATGAAGCAACTAAATCCAAAGAAAACGGCAATAAAAACCTATAAAAACTCCGAAATTGATGTTCTTATTGCGGACAACACGTCCAGAAAAAAATCGGCAGCGTTTAATGAAAAGCCACAAACAAAATTCTAGCGAAAAAAAATTTCTGTCATGAAAAAATTTGCACTATAAATTTTATTCTGAGAGTTTTAACGTTTTGTGCAATCCGGAGGAAAGCAAGCAAAAAAATGCTTCCCTCGAACGACCCAAAGTTAGTTTACTGAACCGATAATATAATCCGAAACCATTTAGGCGGAAAAAATTATGAATCAAAAACACCAAAAAAAGGAAAACATTCAAAATCAAGGCTAGTAGAATTATAAATTACAACGAACACTGCATAGAGCTAAAAAAAAAAACAAATCCACGATATGGCAACTAAGCCGACAAAGCAAAAGCAGACAGATTATATTCCGACAATTTTTCAAATATTACAGTATGAAAAAAAAACAAGTCCTGGTCAGATTCGAACCATCCCAAGCGTTTACCTTGCAGCCAGACTAAGTGCGCCGGAGACGCTTAAAAATTTGAATTCATTATGATCCAAGATGCCAAGTTTTTCTGTTAAACAAGTTGTTAACCCAAAAATGCCTATATTCAGATTTGATAACGATTAGTAATCGCAAGCGTAAAAAATGTTCATGTTCATTGACGTTTTTTATGAAACTTTTGATCGTCGACATAATTTTGGCAGTTATTTCTAACTTTTTATTTAGAAACCATTGACCATAGCCCTGGGCTTCTAATCATAAATAAAAACTATCTTTTTTTAAAAGCTATTGAGGTTTCAACTGTATTAAAATGATATTTACTGATGGTACTACAATCCATGCGCTTGACTTTCATTAACTACACTCAACGTGTTAGCACGGATTATTCGAATCGCTGTGCTGAAATGGTTGAATCGAGCTCAATTGAAGCAGGCCATCTAGCACCATTGTTTTCATACAAGATACAAATCATATGTAAATAAAATTAAAAGGGAACAGGAAAATTGATAACAGTTGAAGAGCCTGGCTCGATTACTTTTGTTATATCTGAGTTGACACAGGATTTAAAAAATCCTACTTTGAAGCATAGCTATTGAAAAAAGACGCCGACAGTTTCTCGAGTAAGATTATACGGAAAAATAAAGAAGGAACAATTTATCATAGAAAACAAGCAAACAAATATTTGCGAAAAAAACAGCTATTATTTGGTCTCCCAGCAAAAAATATTTAACACAGAGAGGAAGTTGCACTTCGCATACACAAGCAAAAAAAATGACCGACAACGCTAGTGGAAAAAACAGAATGAGTAAAACTTTGAGTCCACAAAATTTCCTAAATGGCGCACGCCAATTATGAGTCTACATAATTACTAAGTGACGCAAGTCAATTATGACGCATTAGCAGTACCAGTCAATTTGAAAAAAAAAAAATACCAACTATCATGCCCAGGTTCGAACCCTCTTATTTTGTTGCGGGTCTTCGTCCCTGCCTCTAAGCTACAGATCCATAATACCTAAGTCGCAAAATGAACACTAATATTTGCGACTTAGGTTGGAAAAAAAAGAGTTCAAACGATCACACAAGCTTTGCTTGTGTAAACTCAGGAAATGCGCAGAAATTAAAAAGAGATCGACGACAATTTGGTCTAATCGGCCTAGCAGTAACGCCCATGCTCGGGACTAAAAAGCATGGCACAAAAACGAAAAAAAAATCATGGATGTCGGGATTTCTTCTTTCTGCCTACTCCTATCGGCTGACTTTCCCAATAATTAAACCAATTGTAACTATTAGTGGATTTGGAAAAAAATATATATTTTGTTTGCTTCAAAAGCTCATATTAAGTCTTTTGACGAGCAAAAAAAATTATGGGTCATTTGAATGACAAAATTATATTTTTCATGCGTTTGAATCCTGGTGTTCAGACACACTTTTTTCAGCTCAAACGTCGCGTTCCCAATTAATGTCTGCTTAGAAGCCGCTTGATAAATTTTACTTCAATTCTAATTAAATACTGCTAATTGCGTTTTTCGACCTAATTTTTTTCGTATTCATTTTATATTATAGGAGTGCTTTGCCCGAGAAAAATATTTCATGCAAAAGCAATACAGTTAACATTGTATCGCGATCGTAATGATTTTTTTTTAACTTCAAAACTATTTTTAAAGTAGTTCTCTCAAGATTTAATTACAGTTAACTATTTAGCAAAACCATCTTTAGTTAAAGAATACAAGGAGGTACAAAAACGATGTTTTCTGATTAATTTGGACCAGTAACACACATTGAAAAAAGTGAATGAAAGTAATTATTTCCTCGCCGACAAAAACAATTCCTCAACAAAAAGTGGACTTGTTCTTTCTATGTTGATCCGAGACATTTGAAACTTTAATTTCGGAACCATGGACATGTCTTTTTTTCAACAAATGTTGATTTAGTTAAGATGATCGAACGCTTGACCAAGTAGAACAGCAAATGACGACCAGTAATAATTTTAACACAGATGCAAAGCGGAGTTCCGCATCACTTGCGATGCCACAAAAAAAGCATTACAAGCTAGCAGACAGAAAATGAAGCAACTAAATCCAAAGAAAACGGCAATAAAAACCTATAAAAACTCCGAAATTGATGTTCTTATTGCGGACAACACGTCCAGAAAAAAATCGGCAGCGTTTAATGAAAAGCCACAAACAAAATTCTAGCGAAAAAAAATTTCTGTCATGAAAAAATTTGCACTATAAATTTTATTCTGAGAGTTTTAACGTTTTGTGCAATCCGGAGGAAAGCAAGCAAAAAAATGCTTCCCTCGAACGACCCAAAGTTAGTTTACTGAACCGATAATATAATCCGAAACCATTTAGGCGGAAAAAATTATGAATCAAAAACACCAAAAAAAGGAAAACATTCAAAATCAAGGCTAGTAGAATTATAAATTACAACGAACACTGCATAGAGCTAAAAAAAAAACAAATCCACGATATGGCAACTAAGCCGACAAAGCAAAAGCAGACAGATTATATTCCGACAATTTTTCAAATATTACAGTATGAAAAAAAAACAAGTCCTGGTCAGATTCGAACCATCCCAAGCGTTTACCTTGCAGCCAGACTAAGTGCGCCGGAGACGCTTAAAAATTTGAATTCATTATGATCCAAGATGCCAAGTTTTTCTGTTAAACAAGTTGTTAACCCAAAAATGCCTATATTCAGATTTGATAACGATTAGTAATCGCAAGCGTAAAAAATGTTCATGTTCATTGACGTTTTTTATGAAACTTTTGATCGTCGACATAATTTTGGCAGTTATTTCTAACTTTTTATTTAGAAACCATTGACCATAGCCCTGGGCTTCTAATCATAAATAAAAGCTATCTTTTTTTAAAAGCTATTGAGGTTTCAACTGTATTAAAATGATATTTACTGATGGTACTACAATCCATGCGCTTGACTTTCATTAACTACACTCAACGTGTTAGCACGGATTATTCGAATCGCTGTGCTGAAATGGTTGAATCGAGCTCAATTGAAGCAGGCCATCTAGCACCATTGTTTTCATACAAGATACAAATCATATGTAAATAAAATTAAAAGGGAACAGGAAAATTGATAACAGTTGAAGAGCCTGGCTCGATTACTTTTGTTATATCTGAGTTGACACAGGATTTAAAAAATCCTACTTTGAAGCATAGCTATTGAAAAAAGACGCCGACAGTTTCTCGAGTAAGATTATACGGAAAAATAAAGAAGGAACAATTTATCATAGAAAACAAGCAAACAAATATTTGCGAAAAAAACAGCTATTATTTGGTCTCCCAGCAAAAAATATTTAACACAGAGAGGAAGTTGCACTTCGCATACACAAGCAAAAAAAATGACCGACAACGCTAGTGGAAAAAACAGAATGAGTAAAACTTTGAGTCCACAAAATTTCCTAAATGGCGCACGCCAATTATGAGTCTACATAATTACTAAGTGACGCAAGTCAATTATGACGCATTAGCAGTACCAGTCAATTTGAAAAAAAAAAAATACCAACTATCATGCCCAGGTTCGAACCCTCTTATTTTGTTGCGGGTCTTCGTCCCTGCCTCTAAGCTACAGATCCATAATACCTAAGTCGCAAAATGAACACTAATATTTGCGACTTAGGTTGGAAAAAAAAGAGTTCAAACGATCACACAAGCTTTGCTTGTGTAAACTCAGGAAATGCGCAGAAATTAAAAAGAGATCGACGACAATTTGGTCTAATCGGCCTAGCAGTAACGCCCATGCTCGGGACTAAAAAGCATGGCACAAAAACGAAAAAAAAATCATGGATGTCGGGATTTCTTCTTTCTGCCTACTCCTATCGGCTGACTTTCCCAATAATTAAACCAATTGTAACTATTAGTGGATTTGGAAAAAAATATATATTTTGTTTGCTTCAAAAGCTCATATTAAGTCTTTTGACGAGCAAAAAAAATTATGGGTCATTTGAATGACAAAATTATATTTTTCATGCGTTTGAATCCTGGTGTTCAGACACACTTTTTTCAGCTCAAACGTCGCGTTCCCAATTAATGTCTGCTTAGAAGCCGCTTGATAAATTTTACTTCAATTCTAATTAAATACTGCTAATTGCGTTTTTCGACCTAATTTTTTTCGTATTCATTTTATATTATAGGAGTGCTTTGCCCGAGAAAAATATTTCATGCAAAAGCAATACAGTTAACATTGTATCGCCATCGTAATACGACAACGCGCAAAATAGATAAATTCTCTTATTTTTCAATTGCCAAACAAAGCAATATAGATAAGAGGCTAACACTGATTAACGCGAATTTAACATCTCGCGCCGAATGTAAGCGCAGCGGAGCAAGCGGTCACTACTTACCGATATTGAGTTGTAAAGTAACTTAACGTTCGCGGGATGTCGCGTTCCTTGCAAAGTAGCTGTATTTGGTATAAGCGGACGCTAGCTCCGCTGTTCTGACATTCGGTAGGAGAGATTTAAGTGTTCGTTTATCCAGAAAGTTTTGTTTGGTAATTTTACAAAAATAAAAGAGTTCTATATTTTTGTGAAGTCTTTTGTTGCCAGTTATCGTTTGCTGCGACGTATCGCAGCACCAATGGCCAAACAACTATGCACTACAAATGTCCATACAATTCTGTGGCCACAAAACATATTTTCGCGCACTCAGAAAAAGCACAACAGCAAGCTACGCTGAAAAGCCACTTACATTAATAATCAGTAACAAGCGCAATGATTTCACTTCACTGGAAATACTTTTCAGGTAATTAGTTATTAACAAGTCAAAAACTGTCTGAATAACAAAAACAAAAGCATAAATAAAAAATCAAGTCGGACCAATTATCATTTGATACTGATTCGTTCAATTTTTGTTTTAAATTCGCGCAATTTACTCCTGGTCTAAAATATCATCCTTGTCTATAGAACTTCGAACATTCGATTTCCCCTAATTTTTCATTTCTGCTATTCATATTTAGGTAGTTCAGCTCATTTAAATGAGACATCTTCAGTGGAAAAGAATGATTCGAATTCTAATTACTACTCTGCTACATAAATGAAATAGCTCAAATATACATAATAGATTTTCTAAAATCAATAAAACTTTGAAATCAGTTATGAGAATAGGAATAGAATTTATGTTCAGTTTCGAACGTATGACAGTTCGTAGATTTTGGTGACCGAGTTGCTCGTTTTTGACTTGAATCTGGCCAAATCCTTCCTTGTAACCATGCCGATGACCTGGTTGCAACTGTTGATCACACAGAGATGACGCAACCCTAGAGCTCTGAACAGAGTGAATATCTTACTCAGGGTAGACTTATCACTCACTATATAGGGCGCAGTGTTCATATACGGTTCCAAATCTATCGTGAACCCTTGATTGAGCACCGATGGTGGGATATCATTTATAGTTGGAAATCGAGGATAAGCATCTCTAAGATGTCTAAGCTTCAGCTGTGAATGGGTTCCATCAGTCGCAAATTCCCTGAAGATGTTTCGTTGCAGAAGTATAAGAAGGTGATCTCGCAGGATTAGACCTCTTAGTTGACCTGTGGCCTCGTCAACTACTGGGTATCCATTATGAAGAGACTTCGGATCACTTAAAAGAGTGAAAACGCTATCGACTTTCTCGACTGTCTTCAAAGTTTTCACAGGTGAGTTCATCACCTGAACAGCTTTCACCTGATGAGACAAAGAAGGCGCCTCCCAACCTAGGATCGGAACACTCATGAGGTGTATATGCATGTCGTAGATTCCTTCGTTGAATATGTCTCCCACAAATTTGGCTGTCATTAGGACCAACATAAGCGGCAGTCCGAAAGTGACATTACCAGTTGCTTCCATCAAGATGACAGTCAGACTGATAGTCATCCTGACTACACCACCTAGATTAGCTGCCGCTCCGATCAGAGCATATTTACCACAGTCCACCCATACTTCAGCTTCTCCGACTGCATGTCCGAGGAAAATACCCACACATCTTCCCCAAGCAGCACCTATTAGGAGCGATGGAATGAAAAGACCACTAGGTACTGCCAGACCATACGTCCAACATGCCAGGACATAATATACGAAAGAAAACAGAAGCAACAGAGGCATGTTGAAGGATCCAAGAGGAGCATGGAAGAGACACTTGACAGCCGTCTCAGGAGTAACGAACGTAAGAGTAGACATGACATTAAACTGACCATCGTTACAAAACAGCTGCAAAACTGAGCTGTCATCTTCTGCGGATAAAATCAAGTCATCAGCAGAGCAAAGATCACTCGAGTATATCAGCAGAAAGCAGAGAGCGCAAGAGACGGCTCCGACTACCATCGCTTCTAACACTTTTATGATTGGTCGACGCACAAACTTGAATCGAAACAAAGTGATCCTGTAATTGATTGCGTTGAACAAAGCACCAAGCAAACCCCCGATAGCACCCATCAAACAAAATATTGGTAACTCGTACCAGTTGTAGGGTTGTCCACTGAAGACTCCGAAATTCACCAAACCAGTGTAAGAGAGCTCTCCGAAGTGTCCGTGGTACCAACTGAGAGCAAAATTCAAAGTGAACCCTGACACCATGGCGGAAAACAGTACCCTCCATGTTAGCGCCTGATTCCAGAAACTGGCTCCTTCTTCCAAACTGAAGAGTACGCCACCGACTGGCGAGCCAAATGCAGCTGCAACGCCTGCTGCAGCTCCTCCGGACACGAAATCACGCTTCTCGTTATCGTGTCTAAAGTACTCAAACAGACCAAAATCCCAGTTGAACGACTTGCTAGCTCCTTGGGAAAGTCCAGCTGCAACTACTGCTCCAGAATGAATCATCGGTCCCTCTTTACCTACTGCCAATCCACCGGCAACACTGAACATGACTCCAATCGCTTTGCAAAAGAGAGTCTGAATCCTCACAACTCGCGGTATTTTGACCCCGTTAAGAAAACATTTGATTTGAGGAATGCCGCTTCCCGCCGCCACTGGTTCCAGAAAGGATACAAGCACTGCGGCTACTAGTGTCATCCCAGCTCCAAAGCTGACCCAGATTAGAAGGGGTACCCATAGACCTCCTCTGTCTACTGCTTGGTCCATGAAGTAGCTCACGACTGAGAACTTCAAACTGCTCAAATTTGCAACACCTAAAACAAATAACTTCACTTTTTCCCATAGTATTTTTGCCTCAAAATTGAGGCTGCACTTAGTACGAGAAAGCAACAAAACGACGCAAGAATCAGTTGCCCTAACCAAGAACTGTGTTTGGATAACACATTTCCACCCAAAATCTATCCGAGCAAAGACTGCTCCTTCAATCAGAGCATAGCCGACTGATTAGTGCAATCTGACAGCCCTTAAAAGTTCCGACTGCCCTTAAACGTATCTGAATTAGTTTATCGTTTTAAAAAAAGTAATAGAAATTACCATAAAAAAATGACCCTATTTCTTAAAATCTACCCCACGCGCAAAAAAATATACTTTGCTTCTATTGACGCAATGTATAGATCATTTCGGTAGCCTCAAATCAATTTAAAATAATTTTTGAGCCGAATGAAATCGTCGAGCTGTAAAAATTGCGCGCAATTTTTTTTAAATTGAAACAATTAACAATTACTTCGAAAGCTGAAACAATTAACGGGCAGCAATGGATGTACTATAAAAAATCTAGAGCAAGGTCTGTAAGTTCCTTATTGACAATCAGAAAGAAGACCCAAACCTCTAACAACAATCAGAACTCAACTACAACTACTTCTAACGGATAAAAAATGCAACATTTATACATAATTTTAGATGCATGCACTATTATTATTTACCAAGTTTTTCCTCTTAGCTGTAGATTACAACTCTCAATTCACCACCTTAAATCAGTCATTAAAAAATAAGCAGAAAAGAAGGATTGCTCTGATCAAAAACGAACACGCACCAAAAGATCTTTTATCACATTCAAAATAAGTAACATGTCAGAATGCTAATTTCAAAGGCGTAATTAGTAATCAGAGACAGCATCCTCGGCTGCTCTTACATTCGGCACGACTCGTGTTGTGCGCGTGAATCAGTGTTTGGCTGTTCTGTTTTAGAAGTTGATTGATTTTTTTATCCTCAAATTAAGCATGTCTTTTCACGCCTGTCAATTAATAAAGCTTGTTGTATTACATTAGTCTGCTAAAGCCCATGTTTCAAATTTTATGCTAAAAGAAAGATATGCGAAAAAAAGGTCCATAGGCACGCTGTTTGAAATAGACAAATAGATACTAAGCTGCGAAAAGAAATTGAATACAGAGAACTGTCGTCTCACAGCACAATCGTGGCTCGGCTAAACAGAGCCGAAGCGGCACTTCGCAAACACCAGAAAAATAACAGAGGAAAAAAGTACCCTGAAAGAATATCAAAAAACTCTGAGACTAAATTGCCTTAACATCTTGACTTATACTCATACCCTTGAGTATAAACTCGAATATTTATCGCAAATATCTCGAAGACATTCATCAAGTGGATATAGCCAGATGATGCTGTTTAATATCCGAAAGCCTTTCCATTAAAATAGGCGTTTTTTATAGGAAAAAAAAGGAACGATGTTACAAGCTCGCAAGTGTAATGATGCTCCCATGAGTCAATCAGACTGGCAGCCACATAAACATGAAAGCTTTGATCCTCTTTATAAATTTTCTAAAGACAAAAAAAAACATTCAAGAACAAACTTCTAGCACAACGCATACAAAAGATTGACTTCGCTTGCCAGCTTCAAGAATTTGAAAACTCTATATTATTTCAATGCCAACTAAGCCCGAAATAAGATCACCAAATTGCTGTATATTGTGTGAACTGTGATCTAAGGGCCAAAACTGATCCAAACTTTGAACCCTAAATAAAATATATTGACTCGCAAACAAAACAACTATTTCAACAGATTGCTTAAAACGTTAAATAAAATATGTTCAAACCAGCTTTGCTTTTGCTAACCTTGTTCCAATGCAAAATTTCAGTTAATTACACAGCGGCGAAAGGATTGTCGCATCATTTTGGTTACAGTAGAATGCGAAATCACAAAGAAAAAATCCAAAACTACTTGTTTCATCATTTGAAATTCAATTTGAGAAACAAGTCTCCAATTGTTGTTTCTATTAATATTCCGCTGATATTCTAGAAAACTAAAACCATTTTTTTGTTTATTTTTTCCAATTTTTTTTCAAGTTCTCGGTAATGTTTTAAGGTCTCCAAATATTTATAGTTCGACCGAAATGACTTTCCAAGCTATCCAAAAGCAATAGGAACTCACTATTTTAACAAATTTTCTGCGCCACAGGTAACGTCTTTTGAAAAACTGACACTGAGTTTTTTGGCGTCCCTTCTCAAATTAAGAGTAGATATTGGTGACAAAGGCGCCCTTAGAGAAATAAATGCCATAAAACAGTACCCCATGACCTTTTTTGAGAATTAAATTGACAGGCGGCATTGCGCTTCGGATAACCAGACAAGCAAAAAAGCGGTAACATTTCAAATAAAAAAAGCTTTAACAGATGATTTGGAAAAAATATCATCAGAGCTCGGAACTCGAAACCCGACCAGCATCTCAGGCAGGCGCATTACCAACTGCTCTAATCAACCCGATTCCTTTTAAAAACCTAGCGCATCTTTAAATTATTTATTTTGTTAAGTTTGAAAGTATCTTACATTGACACTTGCCATTAGCATGCGGTGGAATTAAAACTATAATCAAAATAACAGTGCCCCAATTAGTAGTAGTAGTAGTAGTAGTAGTGTAGGCTTTAGGATTTCTCCATGGGTTTTGAACCCTCGTTTATAAGTTCATAATTTTTCCCGGTGGGTTGCAGTTTCCACACCAGCAAAGAATTCTCCACATACACAAGTTGTTTTCTGCAAAATTTCTGTTGAAGAATTTCCAAAACGTGTTTGTTATAGATATTTTCAGGCTGTCATAATCTTGATTTTCGAAGTCCACAATTTGGCTAAAGTAGTTGTATAGCGTAATAGAACGTATATAATAATTTTCATTTGACTTTTTCAGTCTTGTTGCATGAACAGCAATCTCACCACGTGTTGCTTGTCTCGTTCGTGATTCGTTTTTATGAATAATTGTATTCAAATCAATGTCATGTTTATTTTTTAGTAGTGAAACTAAGTACAATATGTCGTGTAATTCAAAGTACATTGAGAGTGGAAGGAGCTTTAAAAATTTCAGTCTTTCAGTATAACTCATTTTGAAGTTATTTGTAATCCAAGATGTCGCTCGTTTTTGTACTCTTTCTAGTTGTCTTAATTCTGCTTTGTTCGGATACCATGTTTGCGATGCATAGCTTATGATTGGTACGATGTATCCGCAGTATAAGTTTAATTTTGACTTTAAAGATGTTTTTTTCGAGATATTTCGTTTGATTTTGTAAAAAGCTCCCATTGCTTTTGATATGCGATTTTCAGCATTTACTGACCACGAAAGGTTGTGACACATTAAAATACCTAAGTCTTTTTGGGTCTTTGCGGTATCAACATTTGTATTAAATAGTGTAACTTCCATTTTCCCTTTGAGGTTTAACAAATTACATTTATCTTCATTCAGCGGCATTTTATTTTCTTTGCACCATTTTTCAACATTTGCCGTGTCTTTTTGCAGATGAATTTCTTCAGTAGACAAGATCTTCATATCGTCACAATAGCCAAAACAATCTGAATTCTCAATGCATTTGGGAAAGTCGTTAATGAATATGATAAAAAGTAGAGGGCCAAGAATTGAGCCCTGTGGTACACCGCTAGTTACTTCTTTCAGAGTTGATGAACTTTTATTGATTTTCACAAACTGCATTCTATCTGTTAGATAGTCTTGTATTATGTCTTGTATTTGAATGCTTAGACCTATGTTCCGTAGTTTGGCGACTAGGATACTATGAGGAACTTTATCAAAGGCTTTAGAAAAATCTAGATAAAGGACTGAGAGTGTTTGAACATTTTTGTCATCGTAGAGTTCATATACTTTGCTCAAAAATTGTACCATTTGTAGTACTGCTGACCTTTTTTGCCGGAAGCCGTATTGTGCGTTTTCCAGGAAAGGTTGAACTTTGGGGTATATATTATCAAAGATAATTTTTTCGAAGACCTTCGAGGCGGAGCATAAGAGGCAATTGTGTCAGCAAAAAAAATAAAATGAACATCCATTAAAACAGAAACGAACTGACCTGCGTCAATGCCAAACGCAATTAATGCAGTAAAAACTCCTATCAGGAACATGACAAACCATCTCGCCAAAGAAACCCTCATCCGAAAATAAAGGTCACTGTCTTGTTGATTAGCTTCTTTCGTGTAAAGCTCATTCTCGGCAACATCGTAGTCCAAGCTCTCATACTGAGTTGAAATAAGATGAGAAGATTTACTAACATCAACTAGCTGTACATCGGAACTCAGCCATGAAGAAGAAAATCTACGAGATAAATCTCTCGGCAGAGCTAGAATTTCACTTGTTCTCCGCTTTAAAGATTTCATGGTTCAACAAAATCAGGACTAAAACATCATTCTAAAAAGATACCTCTTTTCAATAAGAACATTTTAGTACTATTAGAGAATTTAGGATTGCTCTAAGGGTTAAAAATAAGTCCCGCGTAGTTGAGTTTAACTGAAAGTAGCGTACACAACGCAGCAAAGCGAATTTTTTTTCGAAACTAAAATTGCTTGAACTTTCTGAATATTGCAAATAGATGAGTCCATTTTGTATTCTTGATTTGCATTTCACTGTTCTGTCAATTCAAGTTCAAAAGGTGGCTTTTATTCAACAATGGGTACCCTCAACAACATTTTGAAGAAAGAATCGCGTGAGACTTAGGTCCCAAATTGCTGTTGAACCACTCAAAATTATGCCACTTGAATGAGTTTGGGAAGCGAAGTTACACCATCTGAAGTGAGATGGGCGAATACACTTCAGCTGTTCCGATAAGCTTGCTGATACATGCTTACCTAATGCGACCGGATCAGTTATGCATAACGTGTTTAGTAACTGCCAAAAAGATGAAGATAATAATATTATTATGTGATTTTGTTATAATTAGATATAAACCTCCTGAGAGTTCTTAACAGCACAGCACCATGCAGATGAGAATTTATTTTTTTGGAAAATTAAAAAAAAAACGGAATATCTAGGAAACTACAAGGTTTTGAGCAGTCACATTTGAAAGTAGTGAGTTATGACCGATGTGGTTAACTCATAGAGTAATTTCGGATAGGGTACACCGTCTGCTCGTCACGCTATCTTATTTTCGGCCGGATAGATTCGTGCAACTTCTTAGTCTAATACCGATCCTAATCTTACTCTTATACTATTCTAGACTCAGGTTGTTTAACTAGTCTCTGCTAGGCTCAATAGATCTAGGGTATACTGGTTTATGTGACATTCGACCAGAATGTGAAAAATGCAATCTCTGCAGAATTCGGAATTTTAGCAGTAAGCCTTCCGGATTGGTGGTTTTTAAGAACTAAGGGCGTTATTGGAACGTTTATGTGACATTCGACCAGAATGGCCAAAATGCAATTTATGCAGACTTCGAAGTTTTAGCAGTAAGCCTTCCGAGTTGATGATTTCGAAGGATTAGCGACGTTATTGGAACGTTTAGCCAAACGGTGAGGGCTAGAATATTCTAGTATTTTAAATTTTCAAAATTTCGAATGATGACGTCACATTTCGGAGAAATGCTGAAACGGCCATTTTTAACAAAAAGCGAGTGAAAAAAGAGAACAACTTTATCTGTGATTGCGAACAGGACGAAAATCGAGATTAAAGAAAAACGACAACGAACTACAATAGCAGAGAACGTTCCAAGTTGCAACTATTGTGCTGCTGCAATAGTTGCAAGGCCGTTGCCAACAACGGTGAAGGGTGAGAACCAGCCTTCAGGATTGGCGTGAAATTGAACTTGAGGAGCTTGATTCACTGGATTCAAGAATCCGGAAGGGTTTCGGGACTGGAACTTTTAGCCTTTTATATAAACTTTTAGCTTCTTTTCATGTCCTGAATTGAATTTAATTAACAACTGGATTCATTTTGATAAGGATGAGAAGCTAGGAGTTGGGGGGAAAGGGTTGATCCATCTTCGATGGAGATGATGGTTTTTATCTACTGAACAAAAACAATAGTAATATAATAAGTAGTAGCCCTGTTTTTAGGAGTGACCTCGTGGTCTGGGGATACTGAGACCCAGCCATGAGCTCACTATTTTTGCATGTAATTCAGTTAATTAGAGCGTTCTGGTCGAAGCCGGAGAGCAGTAACGTTTTTGTCGACCCGATGTAAGAAAGACCACCGAAAAGTACTGGCTTGGTAGAGACGGTGAAAAACATGCAAAGCTCTGTTTAGACGCTAGCCAGTCGTCTTAAGACTTAGTTTTGTTATCCGTCGATATGTATCTTCCGGGCGAATGTTACATGTATGTTTTTATGGCGCTCCTGGGTGTTATTCTTTCATAACATCATGACCGGCGGAACCGTTAACGAGCACTCCGCGCCGAGCGGATGCTCACATTAACGCCCTTAATAGGCCTAAACTGCCGGGGCGGAAGGGTAGTTCGGAACGCGGAAGCCTTCCGGATTACCGTGAATAGTTTTTTAACCTAGTTAAGACCGAAAATTCACGAACCAGGAAGGGTGGGGGGAATCATGAACCCCTCATCCCCTGAGTGGTTTGTGACCAAAAACACTTAAAGATATAAGCAAAACCAAACAAAAAGTAGTATAGTACCCAAGAAAAACAAAAAACATAAAAAATAACCGAAAAAACCAAAAACAGTAAAAAAAAAAAAGTAAAAAATCAGTAGAAATCATCCCCCCAGACAAGATGTGATTCAACGCCCCCGTTTGTTGTTGATAGATATATTGTTGTTACAGGCATTTATATCAGTCAGGATCGTTACGATCAATTTTGTGGCCCGTTTGTGAGGCTTGTACTGTAGGGTTATTTGAGCATTTAAGCACGTTAATGATAAATTGCGCTCAATCCGGAAGGGTCAGCTGATTTGCGCTCAATTCGGAAGGGTCTTGGGTGAAGACCGATCCGGCAAGCAGTTCAAGGAGCAACAAGAAGGGGCTCAACGACAACAACAATCGACTGTTGGGTATCGTTAACAAGTTTTGTATCCCTTTTGGTACAAAAAGTAAGATAGTAATCTGTGGGGGGCTCGACAGTGCTGCACTGTAGTGACCCTTCACCGAACTGCGAATATCCGAGTTAAGCACCTTAATTCGGATAATAAACAAACCCGGAGGGGTATAGTATTACTAATATTATTACTTGTATAGCCTATATTAATAGTCTTATATCGTTTTTCAGTGAAAAACAACGAAAACAGACCGGTTTTTAGGGTCAAAATAGCGATATTTTGATCCCCCCACAAGTCGCGATTTTTGAGATATCGATATTTTTTGAAACGGAAAAAAGCGCTAAGTTAGTGTGTTACATCGTGACTGCACTACTGTAATAAGTAGAACCGGTTAACTTTAGTTCGGAAGTGGTTGGAACTAGTTTGGTACAAAAAACCAAATTTTCCCATTTTTTGATAGTAAGAAACACTATAAAATCAGAAATTTTTTTGAAATCTTTGAGTTAGGACAGTAAAAATAGTTGATCGGACAACGTCCACTGGTGAATCTACGAGTTTTAAAACCCGCTACCCGAAAGCCTTCCGGGTCGCAGAGAAATCGAACATAACGTGTTTGATTTGGTGGATTCATCAATCCGGAGGGGTCCAGGTAGCATAGTTTTTCGCAAATTTTTTCTACAAAAGCGTTTTAGATCGGGTCTTTTGCATTGAACTAGAAGAGTATAGGCCTTCTGAGCTCAGATCAATAATTTTTAGGTCGAAAGGACCAGATTTGCGGAAAAAGTTAGGCGGAACCTATAAGAGAGAAAATTTTTGAGTTTGGAAGAAAGACGTTTTAGTTAATAACTTTGGAACTACTGAGCATATTGAGTTGATCTTGGTACCAATAGATCAGAAATTAGCTGAGCTTACTGATAGGGTCAGAAATTTTTTTTGGAAAAGTAAGCGAGAAAATTTTTGAGATTGTTTTTAGCAAAATTACACAAATCCGGAGGGGTACACCCTTCACGTTTTAAAAACTTTTCTGAAAAACCCTTATACCCCTACCAAAAGTTGATAGCGATTGACCTAAGTAATTTAAGTCAGTTCTAGACAAAAAGGGAGGGCTGAAGGCACAAGACAACCATAATAGAGTCGAAATTAGGCAAGTGATAAGACCCTTCACCGTTAGTGTGAATTGTCAAATAAGTGCCTTAACTTCAATCCGGAGGGGTCTAGGAAAGGACCCTATACCCTTCCCAGTTAATTCAAACAGCATAAAAGCAACGCAGAACGTATCCGGAGGGGTATAAGCTGAAATTAAGAAAACTAAGAAAAGCTACTTTGACAGAGCTAAGGGCTCCCAATCCGGAGGGGTCGAAATTTTTCAAAGTCAGAGGGGTCCGAATCCGGAGGGGTCTTATAGTTGCTAATTCGGAGGGGTCCAAATCCGGAGGGGTCTACTATTAACTAACTCGGAGGGGTCCCAATCCGGAGGGGTCCATATTCAGACAGTCCGGAAGGGTCCTATTTGTGCCAATCCGGAGGGGTATTATTTTATTAAGGACTTAGGTAAACGAAAGAAAGACTAAAAAGCGAGAGGTATTAGGTTATTAATACACAGGCTAGGTATCAGTGACTGCACTGGTAACTTGCCTTTCAAAAAGAACCAGACTAATACAAAACAGGTCCGAACTCGGATATTCGCGACACTAAGTCTAAATTAAAAAGAGCGTGACTCATTGGTGTGGATTGAAACATAATACGTTTTTGGGAAAAGTGACTGCCCTGAGGATTTTAGTAGGTCTAGCTCGGGCAGTCCGAAGGCAGAATAGGTAACACAGTACTCGGTGGGTGCAATAGACGCCCACTTGAGAAAATTACTGCCTTCAAAGTTTTGTCTGTTTGGTGCAGCACCAAGCAGGGAAAGCTTTTTCTTTAAAAGACAGGTTCGACTATTGTACTGCGACCGACTAAGAGTACAAGACACATACGTTTTTTATATATACATTCATATTGTGTCAATATATATTTTTTGTTTTTGATTTTAAATCAACCTAAACTGTGCTTGATTGGGTAGTGAGTACACTATCTTTTAAATTGACTGATAACATCATATTGTGCTAGTTTCCAGATCTTTGGAACGATAATCGGCTAGTGTGAATAAATTTTATACAAACTGTACTCTGACAACATACAGGGATTCGTGGTCACTATTTAGTAGAATCTGGTGAAATTTATTGTGTTGTGTCATTATTATTGTTAATAAAACTATAAGGTCTCTAGCAATTGAGTCAAGAGTGGGCATAGGAAAGTGACAAATAAAGAATGAGTTTAAACAAGTCAAGGACACCAAAACGAGGTAATAGCTCTAGGAAATTCATACCTGAAAAGCAAAGAAAAACGATGACCGATCCTTTTGTGGATTGGATCAAGCGATCCCGGTCCG